CCCCCCCCCCCCCCCCCCCCCGCTGGTTAGAAATGAGACTCTGTGAACAATCATAATGTACAGGTTCTTTACATGGAGACCAAGCCAATTACCTTCTTCAACAAAGCCTGTCATTTGTCCTACAGTGAATCAGACTCTAAAACAGGAACCTCTCCTCTCATGTCCGACCTGTGGAGTTCAGCACAAGGCAAGATCATCCCTGTACACTTTAATGTGGTATCGTATGGGATGGAGGAAGGGGGAAAAAAATCACTTTGAACTTCTTCTATCATCATATAGCCATTTATACTGGTCTGACCAATGTGTTTGCGCTCACGATGGAGGTATGTTTTCTGTTATTGTGCTTTGCATCAGATCCGGATGACCCTTTGACATGGCTCCTTTTTGTTATAAAATGAGTGTCTAAGGAAGCCAGGGAAGAATAAAAGATGAGAAGTGCACGGTGCCAGTAATAAAGCACAGTAAAGGAAGACAGAGACCATTGTGTTGTGTCTGTATTAAAACCAGAGCCCACAGCCCTGCAATCATCTCTCCCCCGTGCTTCAAACTATTGTATGACCTGAAAAATCAGAAATACAAGAGACAGGCCTCTTTGTGAATAATGATATCTTTTCGATGCAGAAATTTCTGTTGGGCCACCTAGATTTTATTACTAGTTTATCAAGTTAAGCTGCGGTTTCTGTATAAAAGAGAGGAAGTACTACTGGGAAAACTGAAAAAAACATACAGTCAAGCTTTGTCCTGCACCACACGGGACCTCTGGTGAAGGTACTGTTAAGAGCTGTAAACAACATTTTATATTCACCACAACTTCGGCCAGGGACTATCCTCAGCATATTGTGGTGCCTCAGTGAAGACAAGCTCTTTTTTGATTTTGATTTATATTGAATGGGCATATGGAGCAAGTATGCGCTTGCTAACCTTCAATGCTTAGCCCATAGGAAACTGTTATTTGTCAGTGCTATAAAGCAGATTGCTGCCCAGTGGTTTCAATTAACATCAAAGAGCGCTTCACAGCCAGTAATAGTTATATCAAAACCTGAAATGTATTATTTAGGTTATGTGCTGGGGTCCTCCAAACGATTATGTCCTCGTTCAGACGAGGGGTTTTCCTTTCTTGCTGACTTTTTCCATTCCATGTACTCCGCCGCCTTCGCCCTGTTTCTTTGAAGCACCACCACATCACTCCTGTATACGGTCTCTTTGTAGCACCAGGGTACCTGCGTGGCTCACACCCGGTGGCCTATTAGCTACGGGGCATAAAAAGTGGCACTACAATAGTGATGCGGAAGATTAAAAGTCCTTTGTAGCTAAGTGGGTCGATTTTGACAATTTCGTAAGTTTCCCAGGTTTTTGCAATTCATTTCTGGTGCAAAGTAGGCATTTTGTGTTAAGTTAAATCATCTCTTTCATCTGTGTTACCACATGTAAATTCTATTACCTTGTTTTTTCTACGCAGCAACAGGCTCGCTTATAGATGATACAAAACATGATGATACTTTCCATTTTGATTGCAATGAAGAGCCCATTTAGCTATAGTGCATTTTAAATGAGTAAGTATTTAGCAGCAGGTCGTGTGAATAAATGCCTGAATGGTCAAAAATAACAGATATGGTTGTTTTGGATCTAAATCCTTTCAATGTGTGCGGCTCTGCATGGAACAGCTTTCTGGTGACGTAAGATACTCAGAATCGTAGGTTTAGAAAAAGGGCCTGGTTGATGTTAACCCGACTGTCAAACGGGTCACATGACGGGTGACTAAAGTGAGTCATGGGACTAACAACACTCACAACAACTCACCTGACAAAATGTCAACATTTACTTTTTATTTTACAAGGGACACGAACAAGTGCTCCTGGACAAAAGCCCTGTTTCTGTTTGATCCACCCGTCCCATGCTCTGACTACATCAGTTGCTGTCAGCGTCTGAAAATGACGCAGATGGGTTTAAATTGGAGTTGGTCGAAAGCGCCGTGCATCTGTAGCCAAGGGGCACTGACACACTGTCACAACATGGCAGAGGCACAGTAATTTTTGTTCTCATCATGGTTTGGGTCACTCTGATCACTATAGAAGAAGTTATATTGACTGAGTCACACTCCAGTTTTATGCTTAACAGCTTTTTATGTTATATGTTATTTACAGCTTGTTTGGATGTTGGTGCTTTCTGCCAGTATAGTTCAGAATGATCGCAGGATTATGCCAGTATTTTTGTAGTCCATGAACAAAGTGCTGCTTTGACAAGTTAAAACAGGTCGCCTTATTTTTACATTTAACTAAGAATCATACCTCTGACTGTTTTGACTCATCTCAAACTGAAGTTTTGCAGCCCTGCAGGGATAGAAATGCCAGACCTGAGTAGCACCTGCTGTCTAGTAGAACTACTTTTCTTTAATTCTCAGTGAAAATATTTGTTTCTTGCCACAATGAAAGCTCTTTAGGGACAGAAGTGATTTATTGCCTCTAGCCCTTAGCTGGAATATCGTTAAAAACATTGCAACCCCA